ATATAAAACAGAGTTTTTCTCCGGTAAAAATGTCATGATAATCTGTCCACAAGTTTTTGAGTAACGTTGTCCAAAAGACAGAACGACAGACAGACGGTCATACGCCACTGAAAACATCACCTCCCTGTTGGAGGTAATAAAGCTAAGCTGCTGAAGGACTCTCTGAACCCAAAAGGCTCTTTGAAGAATTTGCATGGACAAAATGATTTGAAAGAGTACTGGAAGCCACCAAAAACCAGGTGGAAGAAAGGAGAGAGAGAAAAAAGAGAAAATGTCCAGAGTGTCCAGCAGCAGCAGGCTGTGTGTGTAGGTTCTGCCTCATGGAGCTAAAACATGGAGCAAACAGCCTCACATCCACACAGGATGGGCCTGTTTTTGATTGACATGCAAACATGATGCTGTGTGTAAAAACTGCTGAAATCATTCTCCTGCAAACCTTTCTGTGTTTTACTGTAGATTTGTTTTTTCTTTCTTCACAACAGCCACTGTTGTTTCTCTGTTAGGTGAATAATTTCATAATATCTTGTAAAGTATTTGACTCCTGTTTCTCCTTGTTGGAAAGTTGATTTTGCCCTCATACCRATTGTCTTGTAGCTGATGTTACCAGTGTTAAACACATTATTTCTWAGTTTCTGAAGCTTTAATCCTCACAGTGAGAGTCATCTGTATCATTAAACAGTTGTGCATTGCAAGCATTCCTTCAGGAAAGTCTGCTTTAGTCTGAAAATTGTGCAAAAACAATTCATTGAGGAACTCAAGGCATAAAAATCCTCTTGTTACTGTTAGTTTATTACATGTTTGGATGTTCATTTGATATTTGATGATATTTGATCTCATTCTAAGTATTATTTCTATTCTTTTCCCGTTGGCAGAAAGTGAACATAAAGATGAAGTGAACTTGTAATGACATGGAGCAGCCACAGGGTGGTGCTGTCTGACTGAAAACTTTCAGTCTAATATTGATCTTAAATCTTCAGTTGATCCAAAATGCTGCTTCTAGAGTTTTAATGGGAGTTGTAAGGAGAGATCATATTTCTCCAGTTTTAGCTTCTCTCCACTGGCTCCCTGTCAAATTCAGAATAGAATTTTAAATATTCCTCCTAACATACAAAGCTCTTAACAACCAAGCTCCATCATATATTAAACATCTTTTTGTTCCATACTTTCCTAACAGAGCACTTCACTCTCAGACTGCAGGTTTACTTGTGGTTCCTGGAGTTTCCATTTCCATGGTACCTACTCAGCCTGACTCTGTTCGGTCCAGCTCTGTTTGGTACGACTCGGTTTGTTTTCCATCAGGCTTCAGAACCTCTCTGGTGGGTGGATTCTGGGCGGTCACAAGAAGATGATGTAGAAGAAGACCGCGAACACAACGATAGAGAACATGGTGGAGTTGTTAAACATTTTGCTGTGTTGTAACCCGTCCAGAGGACCTATACAATTTTTTTCCTTTTGATTTTTTTATCTGGATTACTGAGATGCATCAGGACATTTTGCTGTGTTGATTTAGCAATAAAAATGTTGTAAAAATCCATCCATTCTCATTCTTTATTTTTTGGCTTTGTTCTTTTTTTGCCACTTGAGTATAAAGCAGAACTGAATATCTGAATTTTAGTATCTTAGCTTCTTCATCATCAGTGGCTTTTTTTAATTGTAGAAAAAGAAAGAAAAAGAAAAAAATGAAATGTAATGAGAAAGAGTGAAATGTGAAATATATGGTGAGAAAACACAAGACAACACACCCGACATCTTGGCTCCACACCTACAAAAACAAAGATAACAAAACCACAGCAACAAAAATGCATATCTATATAATTACAATGACTATAGCCTTGCTGAAAACCATACCCATAAACATATATAAATTTATACATCCATTCTCATTCTTATCACTGACACTGACTTTAAGAAACAGTTGCAAATGTTGTAAACACAAATGGTTTAGTCTTAATTTAAACACAAAAGGTTTACTCTTAATATCAATATAAACAGAAATACTTTGGTGTTACAATAAACACAAATAGCTTAGTCTTAATAT